TCTTCACTGTTAAATTAAAAAAGAATAGTAACACCTAACAGAATATAGTAAGGATTAAATGAGGTAAAACATAGAACGCCTGACCTCTAGTGAGCACTCAGTCAATACAGTTATTGTTTTGCTTATCGTCAATTAAATTGTATTTCAGACACAATTATCAGATACTCGGTCAGGACGGATTCTCATTATAACTGTTTTTGGTTTTCAGAATAAAATATATTTAAAAACTTAAAAGATTATTCGAATGATTTTGGAATGGAATAGAGACAAATACAAAGGAACAAATAAAAGCAGGAATTTACCTATTTTGTTCAGGATGAGAGAGGAAATCGATCAGACCTAAGTAGAAACAGGCCTTCATTTGAAATTCTCTCAATCTCTTCCTCCTTCCCACTTCCTTCCCTCTTCTTATCTCCATCCTTAACTACATAGACACGCACGCAAGTATGTGTGCATGCGCACACATGTGCACACACCACACACACACACACACACACACACACACACACACGCTCCCCTAAACAAATGTTCAAGGATCTCTGCTGAGAGTTAGTGGCAGTCGTTCAGAACCCATCTTTAAAATAGAGTTCTGAATTCAGCCTCTCACTCTCCTAATTTAATTTCTGAATAGGGCGTCATGAAAGGATGAATAACAAAGGTGTCAAATTTGATACCACTTGTTCTTTTTTTTCAAATTCTCTGAATGACTTTTTCCTCCCTAGTTCCACTGTAGCCAAGAATAATTTTTAAAGATTTTTTTTCTTAACCAATTAAAATTAATACCTTTTCGTGCTGCTGGAGATGCCGTCTGTGGACCTGCGCGCTTGCCCAGTTGCTCAAATGGTGTTCCAAGCTCGTTTCCTTTGAAAATCTTGCATAATGCTTGTGAGACAAAACTATATAAAATAAAAAAGCTTTTTTTAAAAAACAAATTTTCTTTTAATTTTATTTTTAAGTAATCCCTATACCCAACGTGGGGCTCAAACTCACAACCCCAAGATCAAGAGTCACAAGCTCCATTGACTAAACTAACCAGGTGCCCCCTTACCCCCAAAGTCTTTTTCAATCTTGAGAAGGAAAGAAAGCTACAGCAGACTGGAGCATCTAGATTTTTAAATGTATGCTTACTTCTCTTTAAAAACAAAATTGGAGATAAAGTATGGTAAAATTATAGTTGGGCTTAAAATTTTGTGGTGTAGAAAGGATGTTGGAGTCCACCTATTCCAAATCCCTATTTTTCCAAAAAGAATATTAAAAGCCAGAGGTATGTGAGCCTTGGTCCAAATCACACTACTGTTTTCCCCTCTCCCATCTGTGGATGATGGTAAGGCTAGGATATGATAAGCTCACAGTGTTGTTCTATAATTATTAGTATTATTGTTTCAAGTAGACTCCATATCCAGCGTGGAGCCCAACATGAGGCTTAAACTCATGACCCTGAGATCAAGACTTGAGCTGAGATTAGGATTTAGATGATTAACCCGAGCCATTCAGGTGTCCATATAGTTATTTTTATTAATACACATAAGCAACTCCATTTTTAGCCCACTCTCTGGCCCCTCCATCATTCTCTTGGGACCCCATCTTTTGCACCATTTATTTTCTGAGGGCCTTTGCACTCACCTGGTTGATAACATATTGCTGTCAAGCCAATGATTGGCAGAGATCAGCATTTCCAAAAGGGCTTGTTATATGAGTTGTTAGTATTCTCTGAGGGAAAATGTTGATGCTTGAATGAATTTGGAAAATACTGCACTGAATAAATGTATATGGTTATTTCCTGCAAGACTTCTCAGAGCCTTTAATATGCTAATGTATATCATATGTCTCTAGGAGTGGGGTGAAGTACATAAATCAAGTTTTTAGAGCTTACCTGATGGTGGAACTTTCTATCTCTCCCCAGCCCCAGGATGTGAGAATGAGTGGGATTTAGGTTATCCTTCCAGAGATTTTTGCATTTTAATAAGGGTTCTTAAAGAAGAAATTATGTTGAGCTCCTTATTTCTCTTAGGGTGTACAATCTTTAAGGGCAGGAAAAAATATCATTTATCTCTGAGTCACTAACATTTAGTCCAGCGCCATGCACTGTTCCTGGCACACAGGATGAATAGCACAAGATCCATCTACACTTGTTAAAGGAATAAACAAAAAAGACTTCAAGACCCATCAGACTTACTTTCTGGAGGTAGAATTTGAGCCATCGATGGTAACTGCATTAATCTTCTGTTATTCTTTGTTTTTTTTTTATTAAATCTATAGTTCCAGGGCAAGACTTTTTTAAAAAAAATTGATAAAGAGAACTATAAAGAAAACATATTGTATTATCACATTTTTTCTCTCCCTTGCTTGCAAACAAAAAGAAATTAAAAATTAAAAAAAAATCCAATGCTTACTAGCTTTTGTGAGGTGGAATCAGGGCAATAGGTAGAGAAAAGCAGAGCTGGAGAGACAAAAATGGGAAAATTAGATGGAAGAGGGTTGTGATTTAGAAGAGAAGTATGGAAATAGAATGAAAGAGGTTGTAGAAGTAGGTGAGAACCAGAGATGTTTGGTGGCTGGGAGAATTTTTGGTTGGGAGTTGAGAGTGGCAGAGGGAGGAAGATCTGGGGTAAGGAAGGGAAGCAGCTGCCTTTGGATGGATAATGAGGGCTGCATAGATGGGAAGAAGGACTTTTAAGATTTTCTGTGTAACATTTACCCATACCAACACCCACACATCCCACTTTGGAAGTTTCATGAAGGACCAACTAAAACCTGGAAATGCTTTCAGATATATTCCTATTTCTCTCTTGGAATTCCCAGCATAAAGTGGGCAATGGTGGGGCAGCTAATAATATTCAGATTCTACTACCAGAGGACAGAGATGCAAGAGCAAAATAGGACCCCAGCAAATTTTCCATTTCTCATGAGAATGGGGGCATGTTCATTTGTGAAACAAATGTATACAATTCTCATTATCCACTCCTACCTTACACCTCCCCAGTGCCATACAAGAACAGAAGGATGTGGTTGCCTTTCTTCACACTTATTTTTAGTTGATTTTTCAATATATGTACAAAATCAGGAAAGGTTATGGAAAGCTATTTTTCAGCGTATGTACACCTATATGCCATAAAAATAGATATGTGTGAAGGGGAAAGTACTATTAATTCTTGTGATTTCATAATCTGGATAATCTTAGGTCAATAAATAATTTTGGTGCCCTCAACTGAGCTTCTTATGAATCACTGTACTTGATCCAAAAATGGCCACCATATCTGCCCAGGCAAGTATGAGTTCCCAAACACTAAGGTGGTAGAAAACTTTTCTTTGTACTGGCAAAATGGTATCGAGGGGCATCTGCCTCGGCCTGGGTTGAGCTACCGGAAGCTGCCTTGGTGATCTGCTACCTAAAACTTTCACCCACGTAAGAAAAGACACCTGGCTTTAGTCTTTAGTACCCTGAGTTAACTTGCTTAGTGGAGTGTTAGAACAGCTTGATGAGCTCAGTAGGACGGAGGGAAATTAGCTGGGAAGGAACATGACACCAAGTTTAATTTACCGAGACCTAACCTTTGTTGAGCAACTATTATGTATCAAGAGATGGGAATGCAAATACCAAGAAGATGAATGCCCTACCTACAGGGAGAAAAAAGAAAGAAGAAGGGTAAAGTGAGTTGGAGGAGAGGAATTGAGGTGGGATGGAAGAAGGGAAAGAGAAAGAGAGAAGATAGGGAGGAAGGTAAGGCAAAGAAGAACACCAGTGGTTAAGAAAGACAAATAGAAGAGAAGGAATGGTCGGAAATCATCCAAGAAAGGTCAACACAGGGGGACACTGGGCTTGGGGGCTTTCATTCTATATCCTCTCAAGAGGTTAAATGGCAAAATGTTGCCCAGTTTCCATGTTGTGTGTGAATTAAGAGCAGCAGAAAATTGTGCTTTTAGAGTCATAAGGCAGATGTAGAAGGTTTACACACCGAGTCAGTAGCCTACCTAAAAGATTATTGCAGGTTTTGCTTTTGGAAAACTTTTCGGGAAGCGGGAGGAAACTCCCCCAAATTATATTCACAGTAAACCTGTAATAAAAAAGGCAGTGAGAGTTTCCTTTCTTTTTCATGCAATTTATAAGTGCCTTTTCCTTTCTGGGAAAGAAGTGTTTCCATAGTACAAGTCAAAGCAATTCATCATATTCAGTAAAGTCATAGTGGCTATTAGTACTCATTAGGATGTTTCCTTGAGTAAAGGAAGGGTGGAAATGGTGGAGCAGGTAAAATGGTCCGTTGTTTATATTTGGTACATTGTATTATTCAGTTAATTTTTTTTTATTTGAGAAAAAATGTTTGGCATCCCTTCAATACGTGGTTGAGACTGGAGTATATCCACATGTTTGCTGAAATAAAGAACCAGCTATGCCACATCTGTTTTGGAGAACTAGTTTCGGCCCCCAGATCTCTTGGTCAGGTGTTATTTGAAGGTCAGTATCTCTACCAATAAAATACTGTAACTGATAGCTTACAGTTGGTCACTACCTGAGACAGATGGCACTGGAGGCGCTGGGGAATGCCATCAATCATGCTATTATAAGCACTCAAGACTCTGGGGTGAGAGTAAATTGGTGGACCAAGGTCTGTTGTCCCATCTCTTCCCAGGGTGTTACCATATCTGCAGACCGAAAGAATTGTGTCTTTTTGCCTGGCTGTGCTCACCACTAAAGCCTTCAGTGGTAATAGCAATCACGCTGGTGGGATTCATTGCTGGGGGAGTTCTGTGTGCTGGGAGCTGGAGGGAGGCCACCAATTCATTTCACATATATTATTTCTCCAGGAAACACAGCATAATTGAGGACAATTTTCCACCATGAATTGCATCATTAGCTAACACAGGGAAAGTGAAATGCTGTTAACTTTTCTTTTCCTTCTGCAAAGCTGATGAGCTGAAGAAAACAGAAATAAAAAGTTTAATGTGATTTTTTTCTAAGGATATATGTTGAAAATCAGAATCAAAACACTTTTACACGGTAATAGAAATCCCACATTTTAATACATTGCCATGCACATAAGGAATCAAGTAATGCTGAATACAAAATAGTCAGATATACAAAATGATAAAGCAGATTTTCAAGCCCAATAGAGATCATGCTCACAGATACAAGGGGGCAAAAATCTGTACAGTTTCATTTCTATCAATTTAAAAAGAAATCATGCCCCCTAACTCTTTTTTTGACGACAACCCAACACAGAAAGAAACATTATAAGAAAATATAAAGGAGACCCAGAGGGAATTGCCAAGTTGAGGGCTGCTTAAGATATGGAAATCGTTGGTTCAAGATTGTGGTGCACAATAATTCTTATGTTTAGAGAAAAAAGTTTCTAAACATTGTATGCCCTGGGAACCCAACAGAAAAGGCACTCTGATTTTACCATGTAACTTGCTTGAGTCCTCCGAAGTCTAGTCCTGGGAGTTTTTCTAGGGTGCATAGAGAAAAAAAACCACAGATGTGGGCAATGGATAAGGAAAATACTTATTTAATTAACCACTCTTAGGGGACTAAGAGAGTTCAGACTGCTGGTTTAACTACTCACTTAAGGAAGCTATAAAAATTTCTACCCTCGATGTAGGCTTTTGTATTATGAAACGTGCTTTTATAGCCATGTTTGTTAGTGTTTGTAAAACCTTGAACCAATTTTTTTCATGAGATTTTCCCCTCTTATACCCTACTGAGAGCACTGGTCTTCCGTTCAGTTCACATTGTGTGATTTTTCTTCCTTTCTTGCCTAGAACAAATACTAAAATACAGTAGCTCATCAATGAAGTTCGGTGTGCCTCTCTGCTTCCTGTGACCCTCTATTTGTCAACTTCATACTTTCACTGGTCTTCTCCAACTCAGAGATTGGCGATTTTTGAGTGCACTAAGCCAAACCTGAGGCTCTCTCCCTCAGCTAGGTCAACTCTAAGCCTTTTGGAGACAGAGAAGTGGAGATAGATGGGCACCTAGGCCATGGGCTCTGCAGACTGGTCCCCATACATTAGATAAAGCTTGTGTGTATATATGCAAAATGCTGATTGTTACTTTCTTTTCACTCTTTCTTTTCTTTTCTAATCCCAGGATGGGCTCTCAGTAGTACCAGCTACAAGGAGAAAGCATAAAGAGAAAGGGCTCACAAGTAAAGCCCAGGTCCCTGTGATAATTGCACATATATTAGTGGTATGGAATACCTCCCCTTAGCTCCTTTTATTTAGCTTGCAAACATTCCAGCCTGCTAAGGTGACAGATGAGCAGAAGCCTAGAGAGACTGGCAATTTCTGTTGAATCCAAGTATTCTTGAATTCAAAACCTCTTCCTCCCCTTTCTCAGAGCAGTGCCAGATCCACAAAGTCCTAAGAATAACTCAACTACATAAGCCACAACAGATCAATATTTTCTTTTCTCAAGTACTTTTTACTGCTAATAAGTAATTTTGTTACAATATTGATCTTCTCTAAAGTTTTGGGGGCAGCTATTTAATTTAGTGGCTAATGATATTAAATAGTTGGATTAATTGGAGCTACAGTAGTATGGCTTAATGGCACAAGAGTTTCAGTGCAATTAGTTTCAAACATTTGTGCTGGCTTGGCTTTTCAACAGACTAGCTGCTTCTGTGCCAATCATGACTGAAACTTTTACAGTGCAAAGTCAAGAGCCTAACATTATTCAGTTCAGCAGTGTGAACTTCACTAGCCAAGCCTTGGTCTCCTCAAACATGGCCTTGAAGGGATAGCATTTTTCTTTTGGTGGGGAAAAGATAATGGTGGACATGCCATTCAGACTTCCCAGAGCACCTTCAAATTGTCTATGTGTGAGTTTAAGCAAGTGGAACCCCAACTACCCCCAGGGTGGCCAACACTCACTGAAGAGGCTAATGCTTCTCTTTTCTAGTGACTGGAGATGAGAGTTGCATTACAATGGAAAAGACAGTTTCCAGTGTTCAAACACCAGTATGTGACCCCCCAGCCTCTCCCCAGCCCCCCCCAATCTGACCCAATTCTCTTTAGGTTTACCTCCTACAAACAGGGGCCTGTTGATGTGAAAAAGAACCTGGTCACATGCTTCAAAACTTCTGCAGTTGATGTGTGGGAAAACATTCTCAGTCCTTCTCCTGTACGGGAAATAGGTATGGGGACTGTTTGAAGCTACCAGAGAATAAGCAGGCAGCTCCCAATGCAAAGCACTAAAGGCAGTTGATGGTGGTCAATAAAAAATACTGGAAATTTATATATATAAAATTCTAATTGATTTAGGGGTCACATAATCAAAGACCATGGCAGTGCTCAACCCAAATCATATTCTTGAAATTATGCATGAATAGGGAGACTATCCAGAGCTTCAAAAGGTGTCTTCATGGTCCTTGCGCTATCTTGAGAGAGGGTGGAATGGGGGTGAGGCTGGGCAGGCCAACTTCCTCTGCGGATGGGAGAAGCCCACCATCAGTTTGTGGAACAGAGCAACCACCAGCCACTCGCATTTAATGGCAAGCAAGTATTTCTTCAAAGCTATGTCACAAAAGCAGTTCCCCCACTGCAGGACAAATAATGACCTAATAAGAATCTTTCTTGTTTTGGATTTTTTTTTTTTTTTTTTTTTACAGAGTTAAGCTCTTGAATATGTTTTTATAGAATTTGGAGAGAATGGTATTTAAATACAATCACACATAACAGATCTGTGAGCTCTTGCATATCAACCCAGTTTAGAATTTTACATTTGATAGCTATGTGTGTGCCCTAACAGGGCAAAGCCAAGTGGAGAGCAGCCCGTTTACTTCCTTTGATCCAAACAACTGAAATGTAAAAGGTTTTAAACAATGCAGAAAGCAACCAGCAGAGGCTTCAGTGTCTTCAGTGTTTTGGGTGTTAGCCTCTCCAGCTGGATTAATGTCACAGTCTCTGTGTCATTCATATCAGTAGGGCTGTTTCTATCACTCTGTACTTGAGGCAGAAAGGCCTGGGTTTAAGAGCCTTTCTAAGACTTCTGGAAATGTTGGAGGTTTGGAACAACAACAGCAACCAAACAAGCCATTAAAGAAATGAAACCCCTGAACCACTGGCTCCAAAATATGAAAAGAATAATGTATAATCAGAAAGACTGTATCTACAACACTTATTATGTCAACGAGTCAACTGCAATTCAGCGCAAGTCATAGGGTTACTTTGAAATGTTATTAGGTGTATGTTGTTGGTTCCTTTTAGTGCTTGATGTAATTGGAGAAGGGAGGCTCTGAAGTAAGAATGCTTGGGGCTCTTCAAGATTGTAAAATAGCCCTACAAGGTGCATAAACCTCCAATCTTGCAAAGCCTTTAACACGCATTTTCTGCTGTTCTGTGGAAGTCATTTGTCAGTCTTTGTGCTATCGGGCAGAAGGTCTAAAACTGATCCCATTCTCACTGCCACTTCCCCTTTGCATTTATCCTATAGGTGAATTTCATCTTTAAATTTCTAGATCTTAGGAATGATGCTCTGCACTCCTCCCACCCCCTACCTCCAGAATTTTCCCTGCAGGGCAAAAATGATGGCCAGAAGAGAACCAGCGTGATACATCCCTCTAGCACCTTCCCATATAAGAATCTCCAGGGAAGGATCTATTTTGTTCTGTTTATTAAGGTGGGGAAGAACCTCTCTGTGCACATGGCCAACTTTTTCTCAAGCTGCCCACAGGTGATTAGCTTTCAAAAGAATGTCCCTGTCTCCCCACAAGAGTAAGTCACCAGAGCAAAATAATGGAAATGTGGTTCTGTATGACCTGGAAACTATGCAGTGGTGCCAAGGAATCAAGCATATTGATAAAGGAGAATTCATGAGGCAGTTCTCTGGCTACAGGATTAGGTGAGATCTTAAGAAACAAAGGAGCAGGACCTCCTTGTCTTTGAAGTAGAGTCCCCAGCTGTGCCCTGTGCAGAAGCATCTCCTGGTCTGTCCTCCCTCACAATCTCATGGGTTCTGTTTTGATTAGCAGCTTTGACCAGCCACTCCCTAGAGATGTGAATCCACATCCCACTGCTGTTTGGGCAGCGAACCCTCACCAACGTCAAGCATAAGAATGAACTAGGGGTGGTGGAAGGGGAGGAGGGCGGGGGGGGTAGGGGTGAATGGGTGACGGGCACTGAGGGGGGGCACTTGACGGGATGAGCACTGGGTGTTATTCTGTATGATGGCAAATTGAACACCAATAAAAAAATAAATTTATTATTTTGAAAAAAAGAAAACCACAAAAGGACAAATCAATGTATTAAATAAAAATAAAATGGTAAAAAAAAAGAAGGAATTATTAGTCAGTATTGGGGGAAAAAGGAGACGGTTAAGTTTTTCTGTTTGAGTTCTTTATAGAATACTCAAAATCTACCCAAAGAATTGTATTAAAAGAAGAGATTAAAAAAAAAAAAGCAAAAGAATGGGGTGGAAAGGGTTGTGGGAGAGGTGAATAAAAACAGCCTTTAAGGCATAAAAGAATTTATGTCATTTTCAAAGATTAGATTTTTAAAAAGAGTCTATGGCAATCTTAAGTCTAGTTGTCAAGTAACAAAATTACTCTAAAGAATGTAGAGGAAAACATCACAAAGAATGGAGCAGCTAATGGCACAGGGAAGAGGAGGTTTAGGTAAAGCTAAAGTACTAAGGGGGTCGTGAAAACTTTTCTTCCCAGAGACTTTTATTGTTCCTATCCAAAATCAATCATGTGGCATTTGCAGACAAAGGAAGCCTTTGCACGTAACACTGGGGTAAATCCATTAGAGGTTTCTATCCTTCTTTTATATTTGTGAGTACGGTTGATAGTCCTTCTCCCCTTGAGTGCTAAAAATGGAAGAATCTCCTCAGAACGGAGGACTGTTAACATCTGTCTCTGCAACTGAGAAGTGACTTGGGAGAGAACTCGGGGTTGCTTCCCCCATTCTGGAGGTAGAAGTCAAATGTGCAGTTACACAGCTCACGGAGCCTGAGCAGGGGGCTGAAGGGCCGCCATTACCCATAAGAAAGTTTATAGGATCTCTATCCCCTAGGTATGTCTTAAACTACTGAAGTGATTTGCTTTTTCACCCTAGCAGAACCACGGATGATGCTCTGCATTTTAAATTCGTTCTGAAGCTGGAACAAGCTAATCCCCTTGGCACCCCAGAGAGTCTGATAATTATTCATTTCTCATCATTCCCAAGAGTGTCTTTCCCCGCACAAGTGTGGGTGTCAGCCTTTCAATAAAAAGTGTAGCAGAGGTTTAAGTAACAGGAAAAGTTAAGCATCAACAGTTTATAGCCCTTAGACATCAAAATATTTATCCTTTACCTCCTGGTCTCCTGCTGCCTACTGAAACAAAACTCCCCACAGCCATTCCTGAACTTCTGGGAGGAAAAAGTTCCTACACACATCTCAGGAAGAAGGGAGAGCACAGCAGGAAGTAATGGCGGGAAATGGTGGATGAACATGGGGCGAAGAATGTGGAGGCTGTGAAGGAACTCGTGTCTCCATTTTGCCGGTTAGCAAGGGAATGCTCAGATTTTTTATGCCACCACGTTTCCAAAACTATCCCCCCCCCAAGTGATTTCATAATGAGGTCCACAGTTTGGAAAACAGTCATAGCTCATAGGCAAATAACGTGGTGTGCTGGGAATTAAGGCATTTATAGAGATGCCATCTTCAACTGGGTTCTTTCATCATCTTCAATTTTGCCTTTTCCCATCTCCACCCTTACCTGTCACCTTTTCATAATCTGTCAGCACACTTGTAGCTACATTAAAAAAAAAAAAAGAGGCTAGGAAACTCTACTTATTTAATTGTTCAGAACATATTTTACGAAGGCCAAAGAAAGGATGAACCACTATCATTTAATGACTGACTGTGCCATAAAGCGTATCCAGTTTTCCAAGGTTGTTAGCCACAGTCTCAGAATGACCCTGAATTAATAAACCAATTAATTCCCAGCTACAGTATCTCAGCACCTGACAGTCGTTCTTCTGGATTCAGGAGGCCCTATTCTGGGTCCCCTGAACTATACTGAGAACCGTAGCTTCAGAAAATCTGGCATAATGACCAATGTTGGTGCCTGTGTAAAGGATGGGAATACAGATGACCAAGGTGAACATCCAGGAAAGCAACCGAAAGCTGCTTTGGGAAGCTCTAACCAGCTAAGTCTGGGCCTGGGAAGGGTCTGATGTACACAAGGATGCAAATATGTGGCCTCATGCTGCCTACTACCACTTCCTCCACTGTCTACTTCCACAGGCAATGGAACAGCCTGCTGCCTTGTGCATTTTGTGAGGTTACTCTGGAAGTGGGGAAAGCTGTCTGAATTGTGTTTCCATTGTGGAAAAGCCAAGATGGGGGCAGTGTCTAGGGGGAGGAGATACTGTTCCAGAAGGGCATGGGGAGTCTGTCTCGTACTCTGTTGTTACCCCAACACAATGCTTGGCACGTAGTAGGTGCTCCACAAATCCTTTCTAAATAAAAGAAAGAATGAAAGAAGAAGGAAGCCCTGCTGTTGGAATTGAAACTCAGGGGGTGGGCAGTAGTGTTTGGAATGTTATCTCCAGGGGTATGGACAGCCAGGGTTTGGCCGCCTCATTCTGGATTTGTAAAGAATTAGGGTCTGTGAGAGCCTGATAGTCCTGGTGCTGACCTGTCATAAGGCCAGATCTTCTTGATGGTGACTGAAAACTCTTCTGAGCTCCCTCTCCAAAGCCCCTTTCTCTGGCAATAACAGCTTGACAGGTTTGTGGTGAGTCATCCTATGAGGTGACTCACCCGAATCACATTCGGTTCTCTTTCCCTTCCCCTGTCAACTTTCCTGATCTCAGGTGGGGGTATTTTCCAATGTGTTGTGCATTTCCTGAGACCCCCGCCCCAAGGGAGAGCAGATCATGAGTGCTTGTATGGAGACCCCCTCCTAAAATGCCAAATTTACTTGTACTGGCAGGGTCCCAGGGTTGTTATGCATATTTAAAGGAAAGTCTCTGGTACCTGTCAGTCCCAGATTGGGATTGTGAGTACACAGAATATATTTGCTGAATTTTTTATTCAGCCAAGTTTATATTTTCAAGGGGGAAAACAAAGCTAAAGTATTGTGTAGGGTCAGTCAATATGGAAATCTCTCTAATGCCCAAAGACAAGCAATAACTGGGTTGATCAGTTTCCTAGGACTGTGCTTTGTTGTAAGATGTAGTAAAAAAAAATAATTAATTGTGGATAGAATCCCAGAAAGGATTAAAAGGGACTAGTCGGTTCTCTATGGAGGTAGGAACCTAGTATGAATCGGGCCCTTCCCCTTCCTTAGGCACGCAGGGGGACACCTGTTGTCTCCCCTCTTCAGAGAGCTGTGATTTAAACTTGACCTAGAAAGTCTCCTAAAGTCGTAAAGCCAGACCAACACAGGAAAACTGCATTCTTCTCTCCTTACCCTCAATCCACCATGGTCTTTGACTAAAAAGCCATCTCTTTTCTCCATTGAAAACACTCTTCTATAGAAGGAGAGAGCATGTACACCAGCCACATAGAAGCCTCCTGGGTTCATCTGTATGTGGATGTGTTACGTTGTGCCTCGGTTCCCAGCTTAGGAACAAAGAGCTAAGATACTTCAACTACCAGCCCCCTTCTACTTCCCTTTGGCACTGCAAGAAATCCAGTTGGTGGAGTAAAGTGTCAACAGGTTAAGTCTAACAGTATTGTGGCCATGTTTACACCAATCTACCACAAATGACCGGGGATATGCTAGGCGTGGAGTTTGTCTTGGACAGTCTGAGCCAGAACAAGGATGAGATTTATAAAAGAAAAAAAAAAAAAAAGAGAATACTCGCTTTTCCCACATGTACTGAACATGCTGATTCGTTTTGGTGTAGTGTTCTCAGGTAAAGTGCTTAAGAGTTGGACAGAACACCTTTAAGACACCATAACTAACGTAATCAAGACATGTTTACATTCCTACCAGGGCAGAATATTGTGAACACTTCCACTGAGATTGCAGAACTGCTGTGATTTTTTTTCTAACACATCATGCCATCTGCACACATAATAAAATAATCCAGTAGTTGCCATGCTAAAATAGGACTTCTAGTGAAGGGCACAGACAGCTTCCTGAAGGGAGCTTGAGTTATGCACAGTGATGAAAACTGGAAGCAATTTTCCAGCTAGTGGTCTGCCAATGACCACTTGGAACCAGTTGGCACTGTATATTATGCACCTCATTTTAAAATCCACAGCAAACTAAGATTTTTCCAAAGCCCATAATCTTGACTGAATGGGTCAGTTAATCTGGTTAATCTGTCAATGCTCCATGGATATCTTCGGGCAGTGCCATGAGTTAGTCTCTCCGTGAGGAACAGGCCATGTTCATATCAGCTGGCAGGACAGCAGCTTGGAAGGCTAACCACATTTATGGAGAACCTTCGGTGGAGGCTGTAAGATGAAAAGGGAAAAATGCAGTGAGTCATTTCTTCATGTTCCCAGATGCTGGTATGTAGCAATTATCCCACTCAAACAAATCCTACATCCTTAGGTCAAAGAGAAATCTCTAACAGAGATAATAGTTACTCAACTCCAGGACAAATTTATGGTGGTTTGTATTCTTGGAATGTCCTTCCACCATTTGGCAGAGCGTGGAAGACATCCATCTCAGGGTCTGGCGAAGTTGCCTGGAAGGCAAGGCAAAATCAGGCCTCTGGAACTAGCATTCATCCCTCACTGGTCTGTGATTTGCTACATTGTGGAATTTCATGTCTTTACCTGATCTGGAACAAGATCAGATTGGGAGTGGTATGAAGGCATGTGTGTGTGTGTGTGTGTGTGTGTGTGTGTGTGTGTGTGTGTGAGGGGTGGTGGTGGGGATAATGATGGTTTTATTCATTAGAGAGCTTTCCTGGGATAAAATGCAGAAGGAAATGTTGAAAGCAGTATGGCTGGAGCTCCTGAATTTGCTAGGTGAAGAGTGAGACTGGCTGAGCAGGAGGTCAAGGACAGAGAAAGTCATCAAAGTCTGATCAGAGATTGAACTACCTGCATTGCAACCTTGCTTTTGACTTTGGGAATGTTGGCATAGATATGTCTTCCTGGGTTTTGTAACTATCTATTTTATATTTTTCTTATCATTTTATCTGAGTCCTCCCTATAGTTCCTCATTTATTAGTTAAAATGGGAGTGCCACTGAATGTTTTGTTATAAAAATATCAACATTAGCTTTATTTAATACACAAAACTATTGGACAATGAAAGAGAAAGATACCAAAAGTTCTTGATGTTAAAAAGAAAAAAAAAATCCTACCTAGGTTTTAAAACTGGCTTTTCAAAATATGAGAGAATGCAAAATTTATTAAGCAAATGTTTGATTAAAACTTGCTATTTTTGGGATCCCTGGGTGGCGCAGCGGTTTAGCGCCTGCCTTTGGCCCAGGGCGTGATCCTGGAGACCCAGGATCAAATCCCACATCGGGCTCCCGGTGCATGGAGCCTGCTTCTCCCTCCTCCTGTGTCTCTGCCTCTCTCTCTCTCTCTCTCTCTGTGACTATCATAAATAAATAAAAAAATTTAATTAAAAAAACTTGCTATTTTTGACAATGTAAAAACAAAAGTAAGGTATTATATAAGTGTACTAAATATAAAATAATACACACTACTGATAAGGTTGTAATGAAAGTAGGATACTAATATATTCCTGATGGCATTGTAAACTGGAAAAATGTCAGTTTATTTAAAAACTATTAAAAATTCACATTCTTTGACTCATTGTTCCCATTCAAGGAGTGTATCCTAAGGAAATGATCTAAAATATGAGAGAAACTGTACACACAGATATATAACCTAGAGGTTATTTATAATAGTGGGAAGATTGGAAAATAATTCTCCCATTGTTCAAAGTGTAGGTTAAATAAATGACGGCGCATTAACAAGATGGATGCTCATGTGGCTATCAAAGTAGTAATTATGATGATTATGCAGCTACGTGTTAAAGGTATGGTATACTACAATATGCATAGAAAAGAACTCTAAGTAAAATGAGGAAGATGCTAGGATTTTATTATTGTTTCTTTAAATATTTTGCAAAACAACAAAAATCAGGTTCACAAGAATGCAGATGTGACTAATGAGCACTAAAGCATCCATACTAGTAGTAATACTACCTCAAAGATAACTACTTTGCAGTTTCATTAAGAGATAACACTCCAGTAATATTGAAGGGGCGAATAGAAACCAACATGAATACAAATCTATCCAGGTCAACCTGCAATGGACGAGCAGCCTAGAAGAACCACATGGATTTCTGGGAACCAGACACAGTATAACATCCTTTTGGGATTTTTGCTAAAATCAGCCCTGGAATAGAGAGCACAGAAATGGAAGCTCAACTCTATAGTCAATTAATCTTTGACAAGGTAGGAAAGAATATTCGATGGAAAAAAGTCTCTTCAACAAATGGTGTTGGAAAAATTGGACAGTGACATTCAGAAGAATGAAACTGGACCATTTTCTTACACCACACACAAGAATAAGCTCAAAATGGATTAAAGACCTAAATGTGAGACAGGAATCCATCAAAATCGTAGAGGAGAACACGGGTAGCAACCTCTTTGACCTTGGCTGCAGCAAATTCTTGAGAGACACATCTTCAAAGGCAAGGGAAACAAAAGCAAAAATGAACTATTGGGACTTCATCAAGATAAAAAGCTTTTGCACAGCAAAGGAAACAGTCACAAAACTAAAAGACAACCTATAGAATGGGAGAAGATGTTTGCAAATGTCTTATCAGATAAAGGGCTAGTATCCAAAACCATAAAGAACTTATCAAATTCAACATCCAAAAAACAAATAATCCAGTCAACAAATGGGCAGAAGACATGAACAGACATTTCTCCAAAGAAGACATACAAATGGCCAACAGACACATGAAAAAAATGCTCAACATCACTCGGCATCAGGGAAATATAGATCACCACAATGAGATACCACCTCACAAAAGGCTAACATTAACAACTTAGGAAACCACAGATGTTGGTGAGGATGTGGAGAAAGGGGAGTTCAAACTGGTACATCCACTCTGGAAAATAGTATGGAGGTTCCTAAAAAATAGAGCTACCCTATGACCCAGCAATTGCGCTACTAGGTATTTATCCAAAGGATACAAACGGTGATTCAAAGGGGCACATGGGCCCCATTTATAGCAGCAATGTCTGCAATAGCCAAACTATGGAAAGAGTCCAGATGTCCATCGACAGATGAATGGATAGAGAAGATGTGGCATGCGCGCGCGCACACACACACGCACAGAAATATTACTCAGCCATTGAAAAGAATGAAATTTGCCATTTGCAACAATATGGATGGAAATAGAGGGTATTATGTTAAGTGAAATAAGTCAGAGAAAGACAAGTATCATATGATTTCACTCATATGCAGAATTTAAGAAACAAAACAGTTGAACATGGGGGAAGGGATGGAAAAACAAAATAAGATGAAAACAGAGAGGGAGGCAAACGATAAAAGGCCCTTAACTCTAGGAAACAAACTAGAGGGGAGGGTTGCAGGGGGAAGGTGGGGGGGGGATAGGGTAATTGGGTGATGGACATTAAGGAGGGCACTCGATGTGATGAGCAACTGATGAATCACTAAACTCTACCTCTGAAACTAATAAAAAAAATCAGCTCTGATTAAATGTGTGACCTTGGAAAAGTATTTTTAAGAATAGCCATAAAAGGGCAGCCCAGTGGCTCAGCAGTTTAGTGCCGCCTTTGGCCCAGGGCGTGATCCTGGAAACCCGGGATTGAGTCCCACATCAGGGTCCCTGTGTAGAGCCTGCTTCTCCCTCTGCCTGTGTCTCTGCCTCTCTCTCTCTCTCTCTCTCATGAATAAATAAATAAAATCTTAAAAAAATAGCCATAAAAATAAAATTTAAAAGTGAGTAATGATAATAGTGAATTCTAATTAATTACTATAGATTGGATTGGATGCTGAATCAGGAGTTGATAACTAGGCTTATCACAGCTGCTGTTTTTCCCAATAGCCATGTTTTCCACATGAACCTCTAATAGCCAATGGAAAGCAGACATGTCTAATTTTAGGCTATAATAACCTTATAACCAAGAACATAAGCTGAGCTCATTGTATTTCAGAGCTCTTTACCTGTAGTTCCCCTGTAGACTTCTTCAGAGAGGTAGGGATATCCCCATTTTATGGATAAGGAGATTAAGGCCCAGCAGTATACTAGCTTGAGGTCACACAGCTTGTGAGGATCAAATCTGTGCTCAGACTTAGGTATGTCCCATTCTAGAGTCATGCAGAAGTGACAGGGACACATGTGTAAAGTATAAATACTCAGAGCCTTTCTCATTCTTTTCTCTCCTAAGTAGGATTCTGTGTTTATCCGTAAACTCATTCGGCACAATAAAGGGCCCTGTTGGGCTCGGAAGAAAATTAAAGACTTAATTCATTTATATGAGACAGAGATGATAGGGAGAGCAGAGGGATACTCCTTAAAGAAATTGATAACGTGGAGAAGTAGAGGCCACAAAGAGACAAAGTGGGGGTTTAGAGAGTGACATAGGGGACTCAGAGCGACCACTACCTTGTGAGTCAGGCCTTTGGAAAAGAGCTGGAGAAGAGTGTGCTATGGCATAATGCCCCTGTGACCATCTTTCCATGGAATCAGTAAAGAATTCATTGATCTTTTATAGTTAGTTGCCTTTCATTTGAACGTGTCACTATGTTGAATTGGGCTTTATGTGGGAGCAAGAGGCCTCTGCTTAGGTTGTATGTGCCAGGTGCTGCCTAGGGTAAGGCTTGGACCACTGTCTTTCAATCCCAGATGTATAGTGATGGGATCTGCTGTTTTCCCTTCGCTCAACAGTTTTGTTATCTGCAATTGGAAACATGTCTTCGGGCATAGAAAAGCTACCTGAGGTCAAAATACAAAGTGGCAGTTTGCTTTTGATGGCTCTGGCTCGTTAAAGGGAGAAATGTGTGCACTTTTTGCGTTCCATCCCCTGGGCTTTGGCCATCTCAGATTCCTTTCAGCTCCCAACATATACTGAGTCGTTCACAGATTTTGTTCAACCTTTCCTCCTGCCAAGATGCCTTCTTTACGCACTCTCTAATGCTAGTGAATACATACCCCTCCATTTTCCAAGACCACCTTACGTGTCACATTCTTTACGAAGCCTTCTTTCCCCTAGATGTAGCTGACAACATCCCCCTAGCAGCCAGCACGGCATCTGAAATCTTTACCACCATACCCACCATGAACACTTTATTTTAATGTATCCATTGCTCCTAAATTTTTTGAGGCCATGTCTTTTGAGTGTGTGTCTTCCTAGTGCAAAGTGCAGTGCTAGATGTACAGAAAGTGCTTAAGGAACAGTGAAATTAATGAAGAAAGGAATGGTGTTGGAGAAGAAGAGATTTTTTTTCTTT